GCTGCTTGGGAAGACAACTCCCATGCAGGGAAGAGCGTGAAGGAAAATCAACAAGAGGCAGAAAATCAAGAGTCACAGCAAGGCCATAGCACAGCTTTAAAATAACTAGACTTTATTTTCTAGGCAAGAGGAAGGCCCTGAAGGTTGACAAGCCATGGACTTGCCATGATGGAAGTACAGGCAGGTAGCCTGGCAGTGGAAGGAACATGGACTGATATGTTGAAGTCAGTCTACAGGGAGGGAAACTCATCAGGCGGCTCTTGAAATAATTTTCCAACACTGTAAGAAACGTCTTTCACTCTGCTACCCTCCTCTCCCATGACCTGCCCCAGCTCCTCCAAAATGTCACATAGTGCCTCTCCTGTCTGTTCCAGCACTTTCTGGTCTCTGGAGCCCTGACATTCTCTTAATGACCCACATTGTCTCACGCTGGGGATACAGTTAAGGGGCAAACTTCCCAGCAGCTCTCTGCTGAATGGATGGGCTCATTTCATCTCCAAGTCCACTGACAGCTACTTCCTGGTGATCCAAGGAGTTCTGAGTACTTGTTTGTTTGTACTCTTGGATCCCCCATGTGCTACACAGTATCATTAGTTCACTGATGCCTGACAAGTTTTATCCTAAAGTGAACCATACAAGTGGAGACACATTCAAATGTTCCCTGAAATAGAAGCATTCCTGGTTTCTGGAAGAGATGATATATCATAACAATGACATGATGCTTTCATCTTCAAAGCCCTATGCAAACATCACCTAATTAACCCTCACTCCATACCTGAAAGGCAGGGAAGCATCATCAAACCTGGGTTTCAGGAGAGGAGACTGGAAACTACACATTAATCAGCCTTGGTGCCAAAACCAGCAAGGAAGAACTCCTGACCTTTACTGCTAAGCTGAGGCCGAGAAGAAAAATCAACTCTGAAATTTTTAAATTTATCACAAAGGTCATATATGATAGCTCCTTGTAAAGCTTATCAGAGAATAGGAAAATAAATGGTGTTCATACAGGGAGGCAGGATTCTAGGGTGCTGGCTCTGGATGTTTCACTGCCTAACAGTGTGACCTAGCCATACTTTGAATTCCTCATCCGTCAAAGAAGCCCTATTAGTCTGATTCCCAACACATAACAGCCTTAAAACAATTCATGAAAAAAGTGCTCCAAGAATGAACTCTAACGAGGTCCCACACGATACAGATCATTTTAACAGCTGGGAAAAGGCGTAAGATAGATGAGTCCTCATCCTCCCTTTTTACATAATTTCCACCTCATTCTGCCACATTTCCACCAGCAGAACTGTCCCTCATTACCACTCCAAGCAGTATGGTCAGGCTCTCTCTCTCCCCTCCATCAAACTTCCCCCTAACACAGCCTTAGAGCTCACTGATGCCTTGACTTCCAAGCAAGTTCAGGTTTCATGGAAGCCTTTCCAGAGGGACTTTGCATCTTAACAGGGGACAAAAGTCCTGTTCAGCCAAACTGAAGTCTTGATTGTGGTGTTCTGGCCACTGGGAACTAACTTGCAGAGGAAGTGTCTTGGGATAGTGGGGCCCATGTATCATACCACCCGACATCGACAACAGCCCCAGTAGCAGTCAATGTTTTTTGCAGGTTTTTGTTTGTTTGTTTGTTTTTGAAACAGAGTCTCACTCTGTCACCCAGGCTGGAGTGCAGTGGTACCATCTTGGCTCACTGCAACCTCCGCCTCCCAGGTTCAAGCGATTCTCCTGCCTCAGCCTCCCGAGTGGCTGGGATTACAGGCACCCACCACCATGCCCGTTAATTTTTGTATTTTTAATAGAGACAGGGTTTCACCACTTTGGCCAGGCTGGTCTTGAACTCCTAACCTCAGCTGATCTGCCTGCCTCAGCTTCCCAACCTGCTGGGATTACAGGCATGAGCCACAATGCCTGGCTGCAGCCAACATTTTTTGAGTATTTACCGGGAGCCAACCTCTGTTTTAAAAGAAGACTGGTGTTATGATCAAGAGAGCATGGTCCCTGGTCTTCCTGATGCTATGAAATGACTTCATCTCTCTGTGCTTCAGTCTCTTCATCTCTGAAATGGGAAAATAAGGTGTATCTATCCCCTAAGGTTACTGTGCTGATTAAATGAATGAATCCCATAAAATGCAAAGCACAGTGCCAGGTATGTAATAAGCACCAAAAGAGAGTTGCTATCATTATAGACACTGATATGTACTAACAAGCATGTATTAATGCAACCTTGTGACGTGGGTGCTAGTCCCATTTTATGCAGAGGCTGAGGCATGGAGGTGGACATGTTTGCCTCAGATGAATGGCTAGTCGGTGGTGGGCAGCCTGGCTGCAGAGCCCAGACCTTACCACCATGTTGAACTGTGGGGCCTCATGGCTTCCAGGCCCTTCTGGGGCAGCGGCACAGGGCTGGCACTTACCAGCCTGGGTTCAAGTCATAACTTGTCCACATCAAACACACGAATGAAGTTCTCTCTTTTCTCTCTGACTTGGTATCTTCATCTTTATTATAATATCCCCCATAAAAGCTGGCCATGAAGATCAAATGACTTGTGCAAAAAGATTTTGGAAATTCTGAAATACTCTCCTTTCAAAGGTAAGGAGTTATTATTATCTATTGCAGCATAAACTGAAGTGAGAGCTCTAGGCAAGAGCTAGAAGAACCCAGACTCTGAAGGCCTTAGAAGACCACCTGTGCTTCCGTGGATCCTCAGGTCATGGAGACAATTGGCCTCCATGATCTATCATCTATTGGCTCCTCCTTGGAGAAACTTGGTCAGATCTTGGTTCAGTGGGCCCGGGAACTGGGTACCAGCACGGCAGGAACCCAGGGGCAGACCCCATGCTGCAAACTCTACTGCAGGCCCTGCCAGGCACCCCTCCCCACCACATCATGAGGTGGTAAACCTCCATCCATCCCACAAACCAGGAAGCCCATCACCAATCATGTGCTGTGCATGGCTGTCATTCACTCCCTCACTGAAGTTCCTCCTAGGCCAGGCAGCCACAGGAAGGGGCCCTGGGGACTGTGAAATCCAGAGGTCTCTGAGGAAGGTAGGATGAAGGGGGGCTTTGCCAGGGACTTCAGGGTTCCAGTGTCCTTGGCTCCCATGACAGGAGCTGTGTCCGTCCTCCTGTTTTTTCCATTATTGCCTGAGCCATGCTGGGGTGCCCAGAGCACTGTGGGCCATCTGGGGTCAGTACCCTGCTGATTGGCCTGGGGAGAACAAACACATACACACATACACACACACACACACACACACACACACACACACACAGGCCTTTGGAGAAATTCACCCCAACTCCCTGGGGACTGGCATTCTCAGTGTGTGGCCTTTTAAATCTCCAAGGGCAATGACTCAAACTATTATGCTGGGGATGTTAGAGGATGCAAATATGCATTTTTGAATGACAAACTATTTTCTAATGGTGGCAAGTCTGCTTTCACAGCTAATCAGTGTGATCTATTTTAAAAGTTATTATTTTCCACAGTACAAGACACAATAGCCAAGATTTGGAAGCAAACTAAGTGTCCATGAACAGATGAATGGATAAAGAAAATGTGGTTTGTGTACACAGTGGAGTATATTCAGCCATCAAAAAGAATGAGATCCTATCATTTGCAACAACGTGGACAGAACTGGAGGTCACTATGTTCGGTGAAATAAACCAGGCACAGAAAGACAAATTTTGCATGTTCTCACTCTTTTGTGTGAACTAAAAATTAAAAACAACTGAATTCATGGAGACAGAGAATAGAAAGATGGTTACCAGAGCCTAGGAAGGGTAGTGGGGTGGGGGCAGGAGGAATGGCTAATGGGTACAAAATATAGTTTGACATGAGCAAAATCTTTGATAGCAAAACAAGGTGACTACAGTCAACAAATTTTTGTATTTTTAAAAGTAACTAAAAGAGTATAACTGGAATGTTTGTAACATAAAGAGATGATAAATGCTTGAGATGGATACCCCATTTACCCTGATGTGATTATTATGCATTGTGTGCCTGTATCGAAATATCTCACATACCCCATAAATATACGCTCCTACTGTTGTGGGAAGTCAAGGACTCTGAATGGAGGGACTGGCTGGAGCCGTGGCAGAGGAACAGAAATTGTGAAGATTTCATGTACATTTATCAGTTCCCAAAATTAATACTTTTATAATTTCTTATACCTGTCTTTACTTTAATCTCTTAATCCTGTTATCTTCATAAGCTGAGAATGTATGTCACCTCAGGACCACTATTGCACAAATTGATTATAAAACATGTGTGTTTGAACATTATGAAATCAGTGCACCTTGACAAAGAACAGAATAACAGTGATTTTCAGGGAACAAGGGAAGACAACCATAAGGTCTGACTGCCTGTGGGATTAGGCAGAATAGAGCCATATTTTTCTTCTTGCAGAGAGCCTATAAACGGATGTGCAAGTAGGAGAGATATCGCTGAATTATTTTCCCAGCAAGGAATATTAATAATTAATAACCTGGGGAAGGAATGCATTCCTTGGGGGAGGTCTATAAACGGTGGCTCTGGGAGAGTCTGTGTTATGTGGTTGAGATAAGGACTGAAACACACCCTGGTCTCCTGCAGTACCCTCAGACTTATTAGGGTGGGGAAAAAATCCTGCCCTGGTAAATTTGAGGTCAAACTGGTTCTCTGCTCTCAAACCCTGTTTTCTGTTGTTTAAGATATTTATCAAGACAATACATGCAAGGCTGAACATAGGCCCTCATCAATAATTCCAATTTTGCCCTTTGCCTTGTGATCCTTGCTTTTGTCCTTGCTCTGTTTCCTCAGAAGCATGTGATCTTGTTCTCTTTTTTTTGCCCTTTAAAGCATGTGATCTTTGTGACCTACTCCCTGTTCATACACCTCCTCCCCTTTTAAATCCTTAATAAAACTTGCTAGTTTTGCAGCTCAGGTGGGCATGAGGGACCTACCAATATGTGATGCCACCCCTGGTGGCCCAGCTGTAAAACTCCTCTCTTTGTACTCTTTCTCTTTATTTCTCAGACCAGCCAACACTTGGGCAAAATAGAAAGAACCTACATTGAAATATTGGGGGTGAGTTTCCCCAATAACCTACTGTGTACCCATAAAAATTAAACATTTTAAAAAATATGATTTACCTATCTTGTGTTTTGGTTCACAAGAACCACTGTCTCTCATTCCAGGATGAGAGCAAAGGAAGCACTCAGGATAGCCCTGGAAAGGTAGTATCCAGTTGGCCAGCTGCATTCCATCCTCCACCTGCAGCCACGGCCCAGGTGCCAAACTGGCTAAGGTGATGAGGTCCAGAGATAATTACGCTGGCAGTGTCCACGCTGCCCCTGGACTCTATCACTCCCTTAGCCTGCTCATCTGCTGCCACTCTGTCCGCTCCTCTGCATGTGATTTCCTGTCCTTGCAGCTTGATCTCAGTACAATTTGCACATACTTTCCCACTCAGGAAGAATGTCTCCATTCAAATCCCTCGCAGGATACAGTCTATTTTGGAAGCCACTTAGTGGCAAAGGTGAGTGATGTGCCCAAGCTTGTAGATATTTACAGACCCCTCCTTCCCACTGGTTTCTCCAAATGCCACCCGTGGCTCCAGGGCTTTGCCTGATCATCATGGCACTAGCGTTGAACACTATCAAGGCTGCTCTGTGGGTCCAGCACTCCAGCAAATGAATAGAAACATAATGTTCCGGCCAAGCTGATTTGTCTGTCGCTTAACCAGAGTAAGCGAGAGAAGAAACAAACAGTGGGAGAAGATGTCTCACGCACACTAAGTTTAGACCACCCCAAAACTGAGTCAGACGGCAGCTTTCTGATGCCTCCCAGGGACAGCTGCTTCTCGGAGGAAGAGTATTGCATGGTGAGTTTTAAGGATTTTTTTTCCCCCTAAAATAATGCTACTACTCAATTTGGGACATCCCCCTAAACACAGTCCTGGTCCTGCTCCCAACAGCCTACCCACCTGCCATGACCCTGACCAACAGCTTCTCCACTGCCACCTAATCCTGTCATTTAACTGGGACAGAAGGCAGGTTTGGCCAGGCACGGTGGCTCATGCCTGTAATCCCAACACTTTGGGAGGCCGAGGCAGGCAGATAATCTGAGGTCAAGAGTTCAAGACCAGCCTGACCAACATGGAGAAACCCTGTCTCTACTAAAAATACAAAATTAGCCAGACGTGGTAGTGCGCTTCTGTATCCCAGCTATTAGGGAGGCTGAGGCAGGAGAATCACTTTAACCCAGGAAGTGGAGGTTGCAGTGAGCCGAGATCGTGCCACT